AACAGCAAAAGAATTCATTTAGTAATTGTTTGACAACTACACAATTTATTTCTCGAAGTCTTCTGTTCTACTTTAGAGAGTTTATTATAAACATTAACATTTATAAATTTGCGTACTCAGGTTCTGGTCTTTATAACCTTCCTACATGTACCTAAACCTTTTTGTTGATATCTAGTTTGGGTGTACATATCTAAAGATGATTAGACTGTGAACTGTCTCTTTATGTCCTATAAAGTTCATGAGATGGTGTATGTAACATGAGCGACAAGAAGCAAAAATCCTACTGCGCAACACTTGTGGTACACGGTGCTGCTTGCGTTCAAGAGAGAATAATATGGATGAGAGAGAATCTTAGGGTGTCGGCCGGGATAGGCGAGTTTCACTTAAGTTATTTTTAGAGGTTGTACCCAAATGGAAGTCTAATTTCTGGGATGCCCCAACATTTTACCGGGTTGTTTAGAACAGTGAAGTCCATTCGCAACTGCCTCAAAGCAAACGGTGCAGAATATTGTTATGGCGTCTGTTGATTTCTATCTTAACAACACTAAATAGAAGTTTGTGGACCTCTCCGGAAAGCAACATCCAATTAATTTGAAGCAATCTAAGATAAATCTGTACGAGCTGCACTGGCTACCGGTTAGGTAACGCATTAGTTTTAATATTCTACTATTTGTTTTTAAGGCCATCCATGGATTCGCGCCAACGTATTTAAGAGAACTTGTGTCAATTAAAAGACCAGGAAATTATAATTTAAGATCCTCCTCGGATGGTTTGTTGCTTGCAACGCCAACTTATAGAAGTAGGGTTACATTAGGAGACAGATCATTCCAGGTCGCTGCTTCGGCACTTTGGAATGTATTACCTCGTGAGATTCGTTCTATTACAGATCTAGGGATTTTTAAGCGCCATCTGAAAACGCACCTCTTTAGGGAAGCTTTTTATTAATTTATAAATTTTTAATTTTTATCACGATAATTACTAGTATTTTAACATATGTTGTATATTTTAATTTTATCATAGTATATTTTAGATAATTAGTAGTTAGATACCCTTTATTAAGTTATTATAGATAGAAATCATGTAATGCGCGCTTGATCATTTCATGGAAAGCGCGCAATATAAGAATTAAATTATTATTATTATTATTATTATTATCATTATTATTATTATTATTATTATTATTATTATTATTATTATTATTATTATTATTATTCACATATACTCTAAGGGTTAGACTGGGGTTTTCCCCTCTGTGCCATTATTCTTTCCTGTTGCATTCTAAAAATTAATATGAAAACCGAAAAATTTCAAACTCGCGGCTAGGAGCGTGGAGAGCCGGCTGAAGAACAATTAAGGGTCGAGTCTCCTCAATTCTTTATCAACTAACATTCCCTTTAAACGGGTGAAAGTATGTATCGAATCCGTGTCGTTTCCATCCGGGTCAACAAGGTCCTTCCTTTCATTGGCCCATTTGAAAATGGCCCCTTCTAAGTTGTACACCTCCAAGCTAGACTTGATATCCTGATTTTCAGGTTTTTCTAGCTCGTCTAATAGCCGCTGTGACATAATGCTTGCCCGCCAACCAATAGCGCAGTAGCATACTACTGCCATAGGACCTTGTGTAGTCCCAGCTAAAATAAAAACAAAAGCCAGTGGGTATTTCTTTTTAAAATGCCTTTAAAATTTTTAATTTCTTGTTTGAAAAAAATTCTATTCTATTATAAATGGTACCTTATTCACATACCTAGTTCATCGTTTTAACTGCTGTAAAAAACGCATTGTCTTTAAAATATCTCCGCAAAGGGAGTACCCCGGGAGGGGGGGGGGGACTGCGAAATGGTTTGGGGTAATTGCCCGTTAATTAAAAAAAGAGCGTAATCCAGTGTCACCTTGAAAGCAAGGCATTTTGCAGGCAATCCTTTTTTCTCACCGTTTGTTCTTTTTTTTATTGGGTAAAAAGAAGCGTTTTTTTTAAAATCTCCCCCCGGGGGGGGGGCCCGGGGGGGGGGGGGGGGGGGGTACTGCGAAATGGTTAGGGATAATTGCCCGTTAATTAAAAAAAGAGCGTAATCCAGTGTCACCTTGAAAGCAAGGCATTTTGCAGTCATACCTTCTTTCTGGATCATCTTCATGACTTTAGTCAAATCTGTTTCCTCAGGGTCCAGATGTATCGCGTTAGCTAACCGGCTTACTCTAAATTCATTTTCCCCACGTGTGTCCTGTTGAGGTAAAAAAGGACGGATTAAAAACAAATATAAATTAGAAAAAGAAATTACTGCAGGATCTAGTCGGTTATTTCCCTTTGCCAAACAGTACTACATTGAATGTTGTGCATAAAAGTCAGAGTTTGTTTTCCTGTGGCCTTGTTAGTCTGGCTTTTCTTTTAGATTCGTTTTGTATTTTTCTGCTACAAAATGGCTGGAGACAGGACCGTTATTTCTACCTGGCCATCCGAGTAACGCCGGAATGTCTTGCTATTCGCAGGCCAGGCCAATGGAAGGAATCCGATCCCGCGACCTCCGGCTCCGCGCAGACCAGTGCAAAGGATGAACCCTGTATACCACTAGTCTGTTCCAGGCGTTCATATTGAATTTTACTGGAACGATTATTGAAGCAACAACTTTTGTAATTACTGCGTTGTTTCACAAGCATGGCGCCTGAAATATGGCGCACAACAAAAAGTTGTGTGTATAGACCTTGTCACGGTTCGACGCCATCTTGACGAGTAGGCAAACGCGGCCGAAATTGCAGTGTTTGTATCCGGGGTTTGTATGAGGATCTAATTTCGAATAATTTCCGTAAAATGGCTGTTCTGAAAAAAATATGATTTGTAACCTAAAGCTTCATTCCTAAGGACTCTACTGAAAAAATTTGAGGGCGTTACATGCACTAGAAGACCTAGAACCACTTTTTAAATTTCCTATACATTTGTCTGTAAGAAAGTCCCCGGAAAATTACAGACAAATATATGGAAAATCTAAAGCAAGCCTCTGGAGCAATTTNGGCTTACTCTAAATTCATTTTCCCCACGTGTGTCCTGTTGAGGTAAAAAAGGACGGATTAAAAACAAATATAAATTAGAAAAAGAAATTACTGCAGGATCTAGTCGGTTATTTCCCTTTGCCAAACAGTACTACATTGAATGTTGTGCATAAAAGTCAGAGTTTGTTTTCCTGTGGCCTTGTTAGTCTGGCTTTTCTTTTAGATTCGTTTTGTATTTTTCTGCTACAAAATGGCTGGAGACAGGACCGTTATTTCTACCTGGCCATCCGAGTAACGCCGGAATGTCTTGCTATTCGCAGGCCAGGCCAATGGAAGGAATCCGATCCCGCGACCTCCGGCTCCGCGCAGACCAGTGCAAAGGATGAACCCTGTATACCACTAGTCTGTTCCAGGCGTTCATATTGAATTTTACTGGAACGATTATTGAAGCAACAACTTTTGTAATTACTGCGTTGTTTCACAAGCATGGCGCCTGAAATATGGCGCACAACAAAAAGTTGTGTGTATAGACCTTGTCACGGTTCGACGCCATCTTGACGAGTAGGCAAACGCGGCCGAAATTGCAGTGTTTGTATCCGGGGTTTGTATGAGGATCTAATTTCGAATAATTTCCGTAAAATGGCTGTTCTGAAAAAAATATGATTTGTAACCTAAAGCTTCATTCCTAAGGACTCTACTGAAAAAATTTGAGGGCGTTACATGCACTAGAAGACCTAGAACCACTTTTTAAATTTCCTATACATTTGTCTGTAAGAAAGTCCCCGGAAAATTACAGACAAATATATGGAAAATCTAAAGCAAGCCTCTGGAGCAATTTAGCACAGGTACGCCCCCAAATTTTTTTAGGTCAATCCTTTGCTTTGTAGCTTTAGTTTACAATTAATATTTTTTTTCAGAACGGCCGTTTTACCGAAATTATTCGACAATAGATTTTCATACAAATACTGTAATTTCTCACACGTTTGCCTACTCGTCAAGATGGCGTCGAAAACCGTGACAAGGTCTATTGTTTCGAATTGTTAAACGAAGCAGGTTTTATACGCCCAGTTAATGTTAAAATAATCGCATTTAAACATAAAAGTCGCCGGGCCAAATTATATCAAGCCATTGGAAAAGTCTTTCCCGCATTTCAGTGAGTATTATGCCCAACGGGTCGTCTCAAAACATCTTTGACGAGGTTGCCAATGTTGGGTTAGCAGTTAGAGCGGTTTTCACTTGACTGTCGAAAGTAATTGGTTTTGGTTTTGGTTTTGGTTTTACTACGCCCTTTGGTTGGCTAGTGTATTTACTTTGGTTCTGGTTTTACGACAGTCAAGTGAAAACCGCTCTAACTGATAGTTGGTCAAAAAATTAGTAGTTAACTGAGAAATGAAAAGTTAACAGTTGAGTGCCATCCATTAATTATACTCAGTACGATCGTTGATGTTAATGAAAGCAACGAAGTTTTGCAAACAGAAATGCTATTTTCTGACTTTTTCTGTCCCGCTAATGATCAATGACTCAGTGGCACATTAACGAATATTATTATCTGCAAAAGGCACCACAGTAGTACCCGGCAAGCAGAAAGCGTCCTTCATAGAGATGGTCGTAGACAACTTAACGAATAATTCGTAATTCTAACATTAACAAGATTTTTGTATTCGGATAAGGAAATACTGTTGTCACGGACCCAAAAGCACGTCAAGTTAAACATTACTACCAAAGAAAAAAGCTGTGACTCTTACCATTGGAATTTCAGATGGCTCAAAGAAATCAGCATCTTTCATTTAAGTACATGGAATTTGTACTTACGAGATATCTTTTTTGTAAGTGATGTTTCAGTTCCAACTATTGTAAACCGGTCTTTCTGAAACAGTTTTATTTCTTAAAACCTTTGGATGTCTTTATGACGCTTTTGAAATAGGCGAAAAAGGAAACATTGAGGGACGCGAACGAGAATGTCAACAAAGTCGAGTCCGTATCAAGGTACAAAAATCTTCTGATAACGCAGGTGGAAA